TACATTATCCAATGACTTGTGCCACGGAGAGTTGCCCATGTAATGCAGCTGTAATCTGAAGATGAAAAGCATTGACACTGTAACATGCTATATATATATGAGTTTCTTGAACTTAGATATGTTATCAACTTATCACCACAAAAGTATATCCTATAGAACAATGCCATCTTTGTGGAAATAAAGGCTTTTCCTAGCTGTCTTTATTCCTTGCACCTTTGATGGAGTGATTCCTAGCATAAGAGTTTAAGATTTATACTTGTTAATGAAAATGTAACAAAAAGAATTATGTGATTGCCTTTCTGTTCTGTGATTTAAAAGGAAAGTGATCACTGTGTTTATTCTATGATCTTTGTTGTGAAGTTATGGCCCGAATTTTTTTGAAATGTTTTTCTCTTGTGGGTTGTGGATCCAGTATTAGAACTCTCTTATGGTCCATTATATAAGGGCATTTAGGGTTTGTAGTATGATACAAGAGAACTGAGAAAACCGCTTTTGAGAGAGTGAGAGAGATATATAGGGTATGAGCGTCTAAAATTTGTAATCTCTTATTTTTCACTTAATGGAATTTTTCGTCATATCTTTACTGTGTACATAAGCTTTACGTCAAACTACGTAAATCTTTGTGTTCTGTGTGATGCATGTTTATGTTTCTGTCACTTTCTTGATTGGGATCTTGATTTCGTCGTAACATTTCTGATTTCTATATACATTCTTCTTCTCATCTCAAATAATGGTAGATTGACATTACATTATTTACTAAACAAGGTTGTTAACAACAACAAAGAACAGCAAATGAACTCTTAAAATTTAATTTCTGATAAAATTTGCAAAACCATTTTGTTTTATCATATTGAATCACACTGATGGACTACCAGACTAGCTTTTAGCTATTAATGATCCTTTGGATGATAAAGCCCCCCACTTAATTAATCCAATTTGTAGGACTAAATTTGATTTTTAAGCATTATAAACACCTGCATATATGCACAAGAAAATACCATAAGCTGTGATTAATTAAGATGGAACATTCTGTGGCACCTTCTCTTACTTCACCATCAATCTCTTTTATTCCCATTCTCAACTTGTGGACCCTTTTGTTGGAATTACATGATCTTGGAAAGTAGATATTGACCTAAACATTATATTAAATATTCAGAGGCTCGAAGCCACATTAATTTAAAGTGTCCCATAGTTTTAAAAAATATCTATGTGCATTTATGTATTTTGTGTACACAATAGTGGCATAATTGTAGATAAACCAACCATCTAATTTCTGGATCCAAAACGTATGAAACATGATATTAAATAAGCAGAGGCTAGAAGCCATAAGTATCCCACAGTTTTAAAAAATATCTATGGTGTATTTATGTATTTTGTATACATATATATAGTGGCATAATTGTAGATAAACCAAACATCTAATTTCTGGATCCAAAACGTATGCTGAAATGCGCAAATTACATGCTTATTGATAATTTATTTCACGTGTGCACTGGACTGTTGAGCCTGTGCATCCTAAGTTATCTATTTAATTTTTTTTTTTAATTTTAAATTCAAAATGTCAATTCCATTGTACCAAACATAACATTTAGGTATTAAAAGCATTAGGTGTGACTCTATTGAAAATAATCTCCTCCTTTCTTTTCCTTGCGAGTGACTTCATTCATCTTAATTCCTAATTGATGACACAGATGATTCAAATTTTGAACATGGTTTGAGCTTGCAGATTTAGCATGATTTTTTTATTTTTATTATTATTATTATTTTTTTTTTGTAAAAGAAAAGCAATTTACTCACACATACTGCTTCTACTGGGCCTTGAACCCATGATCTCTTTAGAAAGTATGGATCAGGTACCCGCTGGACCACTAACTCATTGATAAGAAATTAAGTGATAACTCATAAGATTGCCTTTATTTTATTTGGAAACAAAGATTGACACAAAAAAATGTATCCAATTACACCAAATATTTTCACAACCAAATTCATGGTTCGCAATCACGGTCGCAGTGTAACAGAACCATGCAACCAATTAATATCATAAATTAGCTACTGTACCTAGGCCATATATCCAAAGGGCACTTGTTGCAATATATGCTCGTGCTAAAGGACGCCCCTATGTAAAAAGACTTGCAGAATAATAGTTTATCGATATAGGATAAAAGTACAACCAAAAAGCGAAAAAGTATAGTTTCGTTTTTGTCGTAATATCAATAATAATATCAACAGTAAAGTATATGTGTTGCCCCTTGTGACGGGAAAAAAAAGTAATAACAAGTAATATCCCACGTCAATAAGTTTTTGAAAAAAAGGTTCAAAGAGGCATAACTGTACATGAACCATTGATAAAATTAAAGCTTGGATATCTTATTTCACGAATTCCCATTCCACTCTAGTAAATAAATCCCATGTTTGCATGCAAAGTCTGATATTTTGACTGGTGCAGTTTGATCATGTGAATCCAGATTCCATGGACGAACAGAAGAAATAATAGAGGCCTCAACACATGTAGACAAGACTATCTAGGGAGAGAAAGATGAGAGAGAGAGAGGGACATGTCAAGGGGAAGTAGACAAAGAAAACAAAGGGGCAGCTTGATGGAGCTTATAGCATTGAGATATCAGAAATGAGTGGACAGGTAAAGGTTACCCCCTCGAAAAGAGATTGTAGCACTTGCAAATAAAACAATGCTATATAGAGTCCTACAAGGAAGTATATGTAACTACTAAATTCCAATGTCCCTTTTTGTCTTTGTCATTTTTGTGCCCTGCCCCTGCCTATGTGAAAGAATGAGAGAGATAATACATGTCTTGTCAATTGGCATCAACAAGTACTGCAATGCTGTGTGTTTGGCATTTTCTCTTGTCAATATTCAAAAGAATTAAAAACCAATAGAGAAGTTCAACTGTTTATACTATGTCTCAAGCTCTTTTCACCAGTATTCATACCATGCTTATTACTATTATTTATTTATTTTTTTTCTTGCTGTTTTTTATTCAATCAGAAATAGATATAGTACATAGTACAGAAATTGCATTTGCAGGGACATGTGAACCCTTACTACAAAGAAAGGACTCTAGAAGTTGCATTGTGAAACAATTTTGTTGGTCATGACTAGTTCTAATCTAAGGTAAGATATAGTAACTCCATTGTATTGGGGCTTATTGAGACTCGTCTCACATCGTGTAGATATTGTTCACTTTGCGTCATCTTAATCAGTAATGGACTCAAAAAATTAAATGAAGGGAAAACTTATATAGTGGCATTTTTCATTAACTTCCGCACAGCCAATTTCAAATTTTTATGAGTCTATAATGCCAAAAAAAAAAAAATCAGTATGGCCGAATGCCCCCACTAAGCCCTCAATAAATCCTTGCTGTTCTTGATACTTATAATTTTCAAAACGCGTCTACATACAAATAAAATAAAATAAAACATAGAAATTTTGGTCATGCAGTTAGACTAAGCCCAAATATTTCCAAGCTTAATAAAAATAAAGTTACTTATGTATGTGAAAATATAGTAATTGATACCATCAAGTTTTACACACACATATATAGGGGCTACAATGGAATTACATGTCATATTGTAAGGAATAACATATAGAATAAAACAGGGGATTGGGTGTGTTGTTGTCAGAACATGTGACTCAAGGACACTGGCAGGAGTTTTGGGAGACAACACAAACCAAAGGAGAGTGTGTGTGTGTGTGTGTGTGTGAGAGAGAGAGAGAGAGAGAGAGAGCGAGGAGAGAGAGAGATTGGTCTCGTGAAACGCCTGCCTCTGACTCTGATTCTATCACTGACTACCTTCTTCCCATTTCCCATCCCATATATGCAAATGCCAACTATATACATATTGGCCATTTGCTATGTCACGCCCAACAACAGCTCTGCAACTTCAAACCCAAATCAGATTGGAGTCTTCTGCCACCATTAATTAATGTCTTATTGATCTTTTTTCAGTAGACTCTGCCACAGGCATTGGGCATTCTGTGATTTTGTGATTGGCCAAATTGGTGCTTGTCCTGCCAATCAATGACAAACATTAAAAAAGACATAGACACCCAAACAAATTGTTAATCATGACCTTAGAAATAAAATGATTGTTTTGAAGTTAATATAGAACATGTGACTTAGAAAATGACCTATTGGGAGCAATGGATTTATACAATCATTCTCAGGTTATTCAGATTAAGCCTTCCTTTGTCTAGATTTATTGTCGAGCACATTAAACATACAAATTTAACGTGGTTCAATTTATAGTTTATGTAGACTGATAAACATCACGAACAACACACTCTTGTTGTCTCCCTCTATTTTGAATCAATAGAGAGCGAAATAAACGATAAGGTTATAATAGAGTCCAAGGACGGAATCAAAACCTGCACAAAAATAAGCCCAAAAATTCATGTTTAGGGTTGTGACCGGGTCAAAAAAAGTATTCGGTCCACGAGAAGTCAATGGATTGCCAATTATAAACATATTATAATTTCATCAAATTCTAAAGCATTCCGCATTCAGATCATGGGATCCCTCTAATGCTAAGAGTTTCCACTTTCTACATATAAATATATATATAAAAAGGTCACGAGAACCTAATAAATAGTACAATTGGATTCATGTGCAAGTCTTGTCTGACAAATCTTATTCCACATAATAACTTGCTGCATATTTAATTACTCCTCTAGTCACACATTAATCATAGGCCGGCAAGGTTACACTTAAAGAATTGAAATTTTAATTTTATTTTTTTTATCAATAATGATTAGTGATAAACTTGTATTATAATAGTGATTTTTGATTTTAGCATTATAGGGCTAGCTAGCTAGCTAGTAAGAATATGATATTCCTTGTAATTATATTTTTTCCAAATAAGACAATGGTATGTCAGACTCATGACATTCCAAGATCCAAAACTCATACCAGCCACTCCTTTTCCCTACTATAAAAACCAACCTACATTAATCAATTTTGAAAACAGAGTGTGTTTGGAGAGAAATGGCATCAAGGCTGCAAAACAGAGTGGCATTGCGTCGAAAGCTTCATATTCTGAAGAGACTTACCAACTCCAAATCTGTACTACAAAATATATATAATTTGCCATTTCATTTGAGCTTATTACAAATGTCTATATATTTATATATATTTATGATGATTGATATTGTTGTTTGTGAAGGTGAAAAGGAGCTCTATCATCCTAGACGCTTTTCTCTATATCTACAAATTGAAACTCAAAGTGGAGGCAATCAAAAGAGAATACTTACGCCTAATGAAGCATATGCAGGTATATACACGCTGTCTTTCTCTTTGTTTGTTCACGAAAACTCTCCGATGGTTTGCAAGCTCCAGATGCACGTAATCGCAAACCACGGGCATTATTTAAACCCATGTCTCACTTTCATTGAACCTCAAACTAGCAACTTAAGGGAATACTCCTAAAAGTCTAACTAGCCGAGCTGCCTATCCAGGCTCACTCTCTGATCTCTCTCTCCCCTCTCCAAGGAGATATATATATATATATATATAATGTGTATATGTATTTATTTATTACCAACTGGTCAGTCTAGACACATAAGCTGCCAAAGTGATGTAACTATTTATATAAATTATCAAAAGATTGTGTATACTGTATATGTATATTTATGATTGCACATGTATCATGTGGTTGTAATAGTCTCATATATGCTATTGTTGATGGAATGAACAGGAGGTGAAAGTAGAGAAGCTAGGGGAAGGATTTCTTGTAAAGGTGACCAGCAAAAAAGGGGAAGATGTGCTCGTTTCGATCTTAGAGGCTTTCGATGAAATGGGACTTAATGTGCTTCAAGCTAGAGTTTCATGCAACTATTTCTTTGGCATGGAAGCCATTGTTGGACCTCAACACCAAGGTATTGATGCCAGAGATGTTACTCAAGCTCTTGTCAAAGCCATTGAAAAGGGAGATGGAGTTGGGACACACAAGAGCATAGGGCTTCCTGTAGTGACCAACTCAAAGTAATCTCTAGTATCAGTAGTATGTTTCGGAGAGAGTCCTGAAAGTATGTATGTCAGTGATGTCACTTTCATTTTGAATGTTAAAAGGTTGAAAGTGAACCAAAAATGGAGTTTGGGAGTTGCATTTTAAATTTAATATATTTTCCTCCCCAATAGTCAGACAAATTTAATGTCTAACATGTCTCAATTCTCATATATATACCGGCCTAGAAAATTTAACAGATTAAACCAGTTACTTCTATAGTTTGTAGTTTCAAAGAATTGCCTGGCTTAATGTGGTCCTACTTTGTTTAGTAAGAGCTAGCTAGTTCTTGCAATGGGAAAAAAAGAAAATTGGTTCTGTCATGACTCATGACTCATGACTCGCCCGTGTAGATATTGTCAGCTACTCTCTCTTCAGTACTCACGGTTTTCTCAATACACATGTACACGAATATCATATATATATATATATATATAAAGTGTAAACAAAATCACATCTAATTGGTGAGTAAAAATATTCTTTTGGATTCTTTGTTGGAAACATTCCGAATGTTTTTCATCTAGAAGTAGATTAAATTTAGAATCTACAATCATGAATAGAAATTGCATTATTTACTTGATTTCGAATTAGACTCTGTTTTCAGTTGATCCTGATTGTATCAACAACCTAATAAAGAATACCAGCTTTATTGCTCATTGGTTAATTAGAGTTTCTGCACTGGTATATAAGAACTCGTATCCATAGACCATATTTGATTGAAAAAACTTAATTTATTGCATTAGATTCCACCAAAATTTACATTATAAAGTGGTTGATCATTTGCATGACTAGAGTTAAAGTTCACATATGAAGGACTCCATTTATGAAATTAAATGAAATTTGGAGGGACCCTAATCGATTTATGAAGTACTTTTTCAATATATAAAATTTATGCCTGTAACAAAAAGAAATGAGTCTACAATGATATATATATATATATATATATATATATTTTTAATGAGCATCTCCAAAAAAGATTTCACGATTTCTAACGCATGTAGCGAGAAAACCTTTTGTGATCCCACATTATGGTTGTCCAACAGAAAACTCAAGGTTTCTTACACTCGATTGTCAACACAGAAACTGCATATACTCAATGATTGAACTACTTTGGACAACTAATGCCTTGACTTGTATAACATTCAATTATATTATGCAATTTATATTTATTGTAAAATATATATTTATGTATAGAATTTATATGAATAGATTATACTACATATTAGTTATATGTAAATTATTCAATTAGTAATGCCTTGAATTGAGTGGTAGTACTCCATCTTCTCAATTGAGAGAGGTTTTCAAACCTAATCAAAAGCATTATAATTTGAAAATTTTATATAAAAAATAGCAAAAAAAAAAAAAAAAAAGGGGCCGTGGGCTAGGTTCATGGGTTCACATTTGGGTCTCTTAAGTCCAAGCCCGTCATTATTAGGAGTACGGGTCGAGCCATGCTTTGAGCTGGCAGGCTCAGGCTGCAAGCCAATTGATAAGTGATAACACTCGCACTTTATCATTGAGCAATGATATAAGGGACTGAAAATCCCTTCCGAATGGAGAGCCGAAGCAAGTCGAGGGTGATGTGGGACCCAATTGCAGCACCAACATCACCCATTCAATGAAACAGGTATTGGGTATCGGGTACCGATAAGATAATGCCCTAATCAATGATAAATTATTATTATTTTATTATCAAGGAAAACGAATACCCTGTTTATTAGTCGATTTTCCATTATCCGTAAGGGCGCGAATCGCCTGCAGTGAGGCTCCCATGCAATTTCCTGCTGTAACTTTTAAATGTTCCATATTTGGCCACATTAGCTAACGGACACTAAGGTCGTGTTTAGCCAATTACACCACTATTTATAAGTAACATTTTATCACCATTTATAAATAATATCACATAGTTTTAAAAGTAATCTCACGTATAAACATAACTCAATTCAACATATCATTTATGTTATTATTTGATATTAAAAGTGGTGATGTTTCCTTTTACAAATTGTGATGTTACTTTTTAGACTCTGTGATATTACTTATAAATGGTGGTGAAATGTAAAAATAGTCTAAAAAGTAACATCACCACCATTTATAACATCACATAAGTCTAAAAGTAATATCACACAGTTTAAAAAGTAACATCACCACGTTTTGAGGGTAAAAGATACTTATAAATGGTGGTGATGTTACTTTTTAGAATATGTGATATTATTTTTAAATTTTTATGACGTTGCTTAAAAATGGTAGTGAAATGTAAAAATAGTCTAAAAAGTAACATCACCACCATTTATAAGTAACATCACAAAAGTCTAAAAGTAATATCACATAGTCTAAAAAGTAACATCACCACGTTTTGAGGGTGAAAGATACTTATAAATGGTAGTGATGTTACTTTTTAGACTATGTGATATTACTTTTAGACTTCTGTGACGTTACTTAAAAATGGTGGTGAAATATTATTTATAAATAGTGGTGCAATTGCCAAACACAGTGTTAGTGTCCATTAAGTGGAGGAAAATGTAGCCAAACCAAGGCCACTTACTGCTCACTGTAGGAAACAGCATAGGAATTACACAGCAGGTGATTTGCACCCGGTACTACCACATAGTTGTTATCCCAAGCCGTTCGACTCTCATTCAGAAGGGACTTTTGAGGCGGTAGATAAGAAAAACTCAATGCCGCCCTCCTATAATGAATTTTGGCTTCTATCAATTTGTGTTCATGGACAGGTGAGCTGCACTTGCCATATATATATATATATATATATATATATATATATATATATATATATATTACTTTCTCCATCCCATATTATAGTAATCCATTTATCTCTTTTTATATGTCCCAAATTAGTTGTCATCTTTGAAAAGTTAAAGCATTTTTTCATTATATTTCTATCATTGTCCTTTATCTTTTTAAAAAAATTCAAACTTTGTAACTATATATATTTAAATTAAAAATGACAAATTGGTAATTTTAAAAGGAGACAATGCATTAATTGCATATCCCCTTAAAAACTCTAATTTCTAAACATAGACTTCTATTTAGGGACAGAAGGAATACATGGTTCGTCGTATCATCTGATATATATGTTTTAAATAATTAAGAATTATTATGAAAGATAATATACATATATATATTATATAATATATGTGTATGTAGATATATATCATTTAAGATGATTACTATTATCATTCTTATTTGGTATATCTTAATAGGTTGATTATGAAATTTATGATATGCATATAATATGCATGGGATGGCTATGTATGATTTAGTGTATTGTAAGTTTAAAGGTGGTTCATGGTTAAAGTGTAGGCATGGATGAATTGCCAAGGATTAAATATATTACCTAAATATTTGTATGAATAAAATACATACATAGAAAGTATGAATGAGTTACTAATTAAATGTATAAATGTACCTAAATATTTATTTGATGTTAGTATTTAATAATAAACTTCTAGATAGTGGACGCTTTGTTAAGGGGTCATTGAGTTACAGGATTCCCGAATTGTAAATTTTGAAAAATTATTAATTAAATTCTTATTTAATAGATTTCCTTCAACTAGTTATTTATTCTTTTTATTTCTTTTTGTACTATGTGTTTATTTGAAATATTTTAATTATACATCGATATGTTATTATTTTTCATGTTTAATATGTGATTTGTATTAGTCAATTTATACTAATTTTATTAACACGACGATAATTATCGTGACCGATACCAATATAGCAATCTTAATCGATATTACAAGCCATAATATATACAGTAAATATGTACAAAAAGGGAAGCCAAAACGAACCACTTGTCAAGCATCAATTCTAGAATGTTTAGGCATGGCCCCCAAATTTCAAAGCATTTGGTGAAATTATGAACATTTTGGTAAGTGTCGCCATCCTAAATCAATCCTCTTTGGATATTTCCTTGGAAACTCAGATTCCCATTATTGTATCTGCTCCAGTCCAATCAACTATTACTGTCACATTACATTTTACAGGCCAACCTTAATTATGTTATACGTATGTACTCTTGCTCATTATATATATATATATATATATATAAAGATCTCTTATTCACCATTCTTCACACTAAATATGTAACTATTAAATATGATTAATATTTTTTTAATAATTACTTCGTTTTCTAAACTTAATTCATATCAATCAGTCTGAGAAAATTTCTTGTTCATAAGCCAACAAGAAATCGTTATATATATATATCAAAATATAAAAACTTTCCATATTTGAAGCCATTGTAAATGTCGAAAAAACTCTAAAAGACTTAAAACAAAGTCAAAAAGGTATCTGTAGATTGACAGAGGTACAATAATGGTTAGAATTTAATCAAATGAGAAATGGGTTCCTGAAAATTTGATCCCCCGAGCTGAGGAATAGTAAAAAAGACAAACATAAGTCCACGTTAGACGTCGTAGTCATCTTGACCGTCCGTCATTAGTTTAACTTGATATGGGGCCTACTTGATTAAGAAATAATTGGATTTTCATTATTATTACAATTATATTTTAGAATAAACTTAATTTTTCATTAATTGAAACCGAAGAAATTTGTGACTTGGAGGATAAATTACAAGGTATAGGGGACCATTTATGTTTGTCCTATTAACAATGGCGTGTTGGCCTGCACATTTGCTTGCAATATGTTATGCGAAAATTCTTAACTTGGATTTTTTAATTTTTTATTTATTTAATAAAAAAAAAAAACCGACGTCTTAATTAGTTGGACTGACAAGCAATTCACTCTTTAGCTCATCGTGCCTTGAAGTCCAGGAGCTCTGATCTGGTTTGAGATGTGTGGCCAACTTGGCTCCTTTCATCCATTTTCAAGGACCTTGGGGGTGTCGTGAGGCTTTGGTGTTGTGTGTGTTGCTATTGTTCTTTTTGTGTTGTTTATTTTTTTTGGATTATTGTTGTAAAAAAAAAAACAAAAAAAACCAAAACAAAACAAGCAATTTACTTCTT